CTGAAAACGTCTTATAAAAATTATACTCTTTCCGTAACTTAATATAAGACAATTTTTTGACACTGTCATAAACTCCGAAAACGTCCTATAAAATATTATAGAGATGCTAGTATTTTATAAATAAGCGGCATGTATATAAAAATATATTTATTTTCTCCCTTTGCAATACACGGCGTATGTGCCAGTTGAAACTAGACGCCAACACAATGTTCATCCCTTAACACTGGGGAGCAAACATTGGGCTATTCTTTTTCTAGTAACTGGAAACAGAATGGGTGGTTGTAATATATCTAGGGAAAACCTTCATGGGACTTTATTGATTGGCAGATCAACTTACATCGTCCACACATTCAAAGTAAACTTAGGTGACATACAGGGGACAAGGGTATGTGTCGCTCTATTACTTTTCCTAGGACAATGATCAAAAGAGATGGAGCAAAACCTGTGTGCAAGGTTAGTGCATTCCTTGTCAATTCATGTTGTCGGGCTGATGGAATTTACCCCATTCTTCATGATGTCGAGTACCTCCACACAGTCATGGTTTGACAAAGATCTTGTTACACCCAGTGGGCTGGCGAGAATTAGTACATCCCAGAGTGCATGCGCTTCAATGTTTAGTGCATCTGCAACACATGTAACACGACAGCTTTCAGGATGTAAATCTAAGGTCTGGCCTTAATTGGTTGTGCCTGACAGTGGCCTTATTGAAAGCATTGTTTTGAGAGCGTGTATTTTATTCAGGATGTAAACCTAAGATCTATGATCGGGTGACGACGGCGCTTGTGCACTGTTTCCTTCTTGAAGGCGTCGCTTTTGGAGGATTTGAACTTCAGTGTTGTCATGGTGGGAGTTCGTGCTGCAGTTATAAGGATATTTTGTTGTTGCAGAGACTAGGCGTAATTGGTATCTCTGCGATATTAATATATTTTCTTTGTCAGAAAAAATATAACACGACAACAACTAGCAAAGATGAACACACCATGCTTGTCCCAAATAACAGAACTAGTGGCACCTGAGCCCTCATCAGCAAAGAAGGTTGTGTCCATATTCAGTTTAACAAAACCTTCCCTTGGATCTTCCCAACCATGGCATCGGATCACAAGGCTTGGCGTCGACACTAATAGTAATTTGGTGTTGGCGCCGCAATCACTTGGGCTCATCAGGCGAGCATTTGTATACTCTCCTCATGAACAACATGTATCCGCTCCCATCACGCATACCATAATGTTGTAACAAACAATTCTTTCACTCAACTTGGAAGATGATCGCCATCTTATATTATTGCGTTAGAAACTTATACTTGCTTATAGAACCGAAGATCTGATGAGGGAAATCTCTTCCGCTTAATTAATTGACGAGGCAAATATTTTGTCTAGTTTCAAAAAGAGAACTGAAGATCCCACTCGATCACCACACAGGCTTTAGAAATCTCAGTGTGGAGATCGAGGTTTCCCCGGACTTTCTTCGCCTTGCGACACCAAAAGAATGCATCTAGGGTATCTTCACAATGCATTCTGCATGGCATAAACTGCTCGGGATAATACGTATGTTGCCTAGAACAAAATTGAATGTCACAGTGCCACATAAAAGTGTGCAAACAAAAGATTTCAAGTATAGAGACTTAGGGCCTCGATTCGTAGGATTCTTAAAACATAGGAATAGGAAAATTATAGGATTGTAGTGGCATGCCCACTTGAATCCTATATGAATAGCAAGGAGTGTTTAATGCCATAGAAAAAAACAAAGGAATTGTAAAAGGAGGTCAGAGTGGATATTAGATTTCCTATGAAATGTAGTACAAGATTTCATAGGGAAAAAATCCTATGGGATCCAATCATGTGAACCGAGGGACCAACATAGGAAAAATTCCTAAGAATTTAAATCCTCCAAAAATTCTATGGAATTTCTTTGAATCAAAGGGCCCTTAAGGTTTCTGCGAAGGTGTGGATAGTTGTAAATTGGCCATGTTATTTTTAGCATTTAAATTCAACTCAGTAAGTTATCCAATGATCAATCAAAAGAGAGTAAATTGCATAGGAACATTCCATGTTAAACCAACAGGCAACTAGAGTGGTCAAAATACAACAAAATAAAAACACATATGACATGGGAAGCGCAACAATGAAGAGATCAATCGATCATGTGGTGTCACCATTGCATGTGTTGCATTATGGATTTTTGGGGTTTCGTATTAATAGACCTAACATACTTAAAATAATATTTTTGTAACATTCAAAATATTTTTACACCAAATCGAAAACAATTCAAATACTTTGAAAACATAAAAAAACAAGTATAAATTTTTTCAAAGACTTAAGAAATTAAAGATGCGAAATCAAGTGTCACGATTTCCTTCCTTGCGATAGGTTACAGATATCATTTCAATAATCTTGCAACAAATTTTTACTTTAAAATACCCCCACCCCACCCCCCGCGCGATCCAAATAACTTTTGTGGTTTTAGTTCAATTAAAACCACAAAGTTTATATAGGATTGGAGGGAGTAGTATTCCAATGAAATTTCATCTTTTCCAACATTTTTTCAGTGGTCACATCAACTTAACAAATGTTCAATAATACTTCACATTTTATTTTAACTATTTCATTCATATTACAATTTTTAATGAAGCATATTTTTTTTTAAAAAGTAAACAATGAAATATTCGATACCTATATGAAATGTTTATGAATTTGTATATGACTGAAATAATTGAACTTTGTGTGAAATATCTCTAAACTGATCCTGAAGATGATTCAAATATGACTGGAATAATTGAAATATCTGTGATATCTATAAATGATTTTGTAAAAAAAAGAGTTTTAAATGCAGGAAACTAATTAAATTTGATTGAAATATGACTAGAATAATTGAAATTTGTGCAAAACCTTGTGATATGTTTATGATATTGATTGAAATAATTGCATTTCCTGTGGTTGTCCGTGCATATTTTTAAACAATGATATCTCACTGATATAACTCAGAAAAATGAATAGAATTGATTTCTTAAGAATGTGCTGAAGTAAATGCCAACTCTGATCAAAATATAACACACAAAAATATTTGTAGATGTTTTACTGGAAAATATGAAATATTTGTGAAATTGACTTGAAATATGCAAGATTGGTATACTGGAATAATGTCCAACGTCTGCAAGTATTAAGTAATAAACCAGAGCATTGCAGAGAATGATGCTAATCCATCAGAGCA